CGACCATAGATATCGGGTGTGCGCCGGCAGGGGATCGAACCCCGGACCATGTGCATGGTCGGCGAGAGTCCTAACCACTGTGCCACTGTACCACCGGAGATCTGGCTCTAATTATCATCACAGAGATATGGCTCACACCCGATGTTACTTATAACGAAGTTAGCCTGCCAAACTTTGAATTGCGTAGGGTGGACCGACTAAGCCGCAAAGGATGTGGCGTCATCTACCTCAAGAAATGCTCAACCATGCGTAGCATCGAAGCACTCGCTCAGGAAATTGAACTTCAACGCAGCAGACTTCAATGAACAGGCCAAGATATTGACTTTATTGCTATATACCGCAGTCCTGACTGCAATGCAGATGACTTCCCAACAGAGAAGCTAGGCTCCAGGTCATCGAAATGTCAAAGTCTCGGCGACTTCAACGCCCCAATAGTTGACTGCATAAGTCTCACAGTGATATCTTCAGACAACTCCTTTGACCATAAATTGCTGAAATCTAGTATTTCTCTGGCCCTAGTCCAATATTTCATGAAGCCCACACGCTATGACTCACAGCAATCCTCATCAACTTTGGACCTAGTGTTGTCCATTAGTGAAGATGTGGATCTCATACAAACGTTTGGAAAGCTGATATAAATGCGACTGTCTCAGCAGCCAACTCAGTGAACTGGTACATCAACCCTGGGTCCCAAATAGAAGCCGCATGGAACCAGTTTAAACAACTTTACGCCCAAGTAACTGAACCTTTTATCCCTTGGTCTGTCCCAAAGGGTCGGAAACATTGCCCCCTTGGATAAACCGAGAGATTTATAAGAAACTCAGGCGTAAACAAAAATTTCGGAACCTGTTTACCACGGTTGAGACTCCTGAGACCAGGAAATTATACAACACTGCTAGGAACAAAGCTATTGTGGAAACTCGCCAATCAAGTATGAAGTTCGAAACACATCTGGTTAAATTGCAATGGCAAACCTAAAAATAATTTTCTTGTACATGAACTTCAGGAATAAAACATCCAATGGTGTCCCTAACCTGACTGTTGACAATGACACAGGCGAAGAAGATAGAGAAGAAAGCAGGAGCAAAGTCAGACTACTTCTCCAAAGTCTTTACACAGGAGTCATCACTCCCCATCGGCCCAGCCCTGGCTGTATTAAGGGAACACGGGATAGATCCTGTTGAGGTCGACCAAGACACCGTGCTCAATTACTTAAGGAAACTAGATGCAGGGAGATCAATGGGTCCTGATAATCTTCATCCAAGGCTTCTCAAAGCGCTATCAGCTAACATAGCCGGCCCATCGAACACGATCTTCAACCTATCTCTCCTAAATGGAATGTTACTGCGTGAAGAAAGAACACGAATAAAAGTACTTTATAACTTCATTTGTACTAAACATTTGTTTGTAGACTTTGTAGTTGTCTTCGCTTTAGTTGCCGAACAATATAAATTCGTTCAAAGAATACTGGTGTTTTGGATTTAAAGTTGGGACAAATACATAGTCTTTATCGGATCAAAGCGTCTTCGTTACAATAGGAACTTCGGGCTAAGTTCCTTGACACCTTCTACCATACATGTTAATGATTACGCCAGAGCCTGCAAGCTCCTGCAACTAGTTTTTATATTACACCCCGTAATGTACCTTAATTCATTCAATGAACACCACCACAATCAGCAGATGTCCATGACTACTTCCCTCCGCTGAAAGCGAATTCGGTTTACCATAATAGCCAGGTGTGAAACGAAGTTGTCAGTATTTCCCCGGTTCACTTATTAGTTCGCCTCTTGTGACTGTCTGATATTTAGCGATCATACGTGAGTCATCTTCGAGACTGCTTTAGTGGTAAATGACGATGAAACGTTACTGGTCAGAAAAAACATAACATTTGACAATGAGTGACTGAATTCACTATAAATATGGGTTGAATACGTTTGGCGAGAGCATCTACAGTAAGAGCATAGAATAACGGACCTCGTAATAGGCCCCTATAAGAGAAAAACATGGTATTTACAAATTCTTAGCCCCTATAAAGTTCGGCTGGGTCAAAGAAGAGCAAATTCTTCTGTTTGTGTGGTAGTTGGCCAAAGGTTAAATAAGTAGTCCAGTGAGGTTATTCCATGCCCAAAACGTAAACTGTGTCCATATTTTAAGCGAAGACACTCCTATCTCTGAGTCCACTGACTATGAATGTTAATTTAAGTTTCGACTGCTCCGTATCAATATGTAACGCAGTATAGTATAATTCATTTCTTTTCTGGGAAACCAGTTAGTTGGGCTGCTTGATCGATTTCGAACTCATTCCCAGTCGGTTTCAACTAGAAGTAGTGCCCACTACTGGTGTGTGGTTATCTGTACAATTAGACCTGAGCTCTGGTAACACTGCCTGTTTACTCTTTAGTCTGGCACACCTAACCTGGTGGCCAGGCTGTTCTTACCACCGCCCTAGCTAGCGGGGTGGGAACATAACAGTTAGTCACGCTCCGAGGTGTGTTGATTGATCATGATTTGAATGAGTAGAGGAACACTGTTATACAACAAAAAGCCGCCAAACTCTTCCCTCGGAAACCCGATTGCACAACACGTGTTTCAATCTGCACATAAAAAGAAAACGATCTTTGAAGGTTGGTTGGATATGGTCTAATTTTCTGTTGCAGCTGTTACCACGACACTGGAATTCGCGAGTTCGTCATACCTGCTGCAACAATACAACACGGATTCTCAACCTATCACCCGGCAACTACTTCATATATATGTAAAACTTGGGCACTGTAGAAGTAGGTTATTTCACATTGTTTGTTTACTAGATATATCACACGGTGAAACATTATTATTTACTGAATGACAAAGTTTCGAACGCAGCTTATTCATTGTTCATAATCATAGCATTGATTTTAACCACAGAACTTATATTTTATAGTTTTCTTTATTCCCATCTATTCGTGGAAGAGGCACCAGAAGTTTTCAGATGTTTGGGTGGACAGGTGATGAACCATTTCTGTTGCACGTGTGTTCAGTTGATTCGACAAATAAAGCTCCCGCAGTTATCAGTCTGCCCCTCCAGCCTGTTACATCAAATTTTAAAACTGCCACCTTATCCCATCATTTTATTGTATTGTTGTGTGTAACTTCATGTACTGAGTGCTATAGCCTAAATAACTATTCTCCAGACTATTTATCTTATCGTGGTCAACTAATATATATTTCGCTAGGTTTTGTGCTCCTCTAATCTGACTGACCTTGTTCTCCCGCTTTCACTTTGTATTTGACTTTGCGATCATTCCGGTAGGGCATTAGATAAACTAAATTGTTTTGTTTAATTGGCCCAGCAGCACCTTCTAACCGACAGAGCTTGTTTCTGATTAAGTTTTTGGGTAGCTTGAACACCACTTTTACTCCTGTGTTGCTAAGAATTTTCCGTAAGGCTTCTGAGTTCCCTTCTTTATATGGAAGTGCTAATGATGATATAAATATGGAATAAGGACTTACTGGTTATTGTGTAAACATATAAACCACTCGGTCTTTAGGACAGATCTCAACAGCTCATGAATTCTGACTTCTGTCACCGCGTACTGCCGATGATTCCCAAACTAGGATGAAACAGCTGTCCAGTACTCCCTGGTTTTCAATGGTTCTCTAGCTGATATCAATCCGTGATCAAACCACAAAACAAAACTAACCCTTACAAACCAAACTATAGAGAATCTCTAGTTCCCTAAAGAAAACCTTTCCTGTGGCAACTCTAGGAGTAATATTCTCTAGCCGCCCACTGCTTATAAGCAGCGTGGAGGACAACCTCCCGCTTATGACCACTCTAATGTGCATATATCAGTTCACTCGCTCATTCGGAGTTCCGCACATAGCTCGTTCTATGTGGGTCCTTTCAGAACGTGTTAGAGAACACTACCCAGCCATCGTATATATATCTATGCAGGTATATCTCTATAAATGCGATTGTACACCATTTGAGGATGAAATTGCCGAAAAATATCCTCGCTGAAATTCTCATTCTTTTCTCTCCAATTAAAAATAAGCAAAGGTGATCTTAAGGCGGGCTTGCGTGCCTACCACGTTATCCCCAGGAAGCAGACCACCACCATCACCACTACCACTAGTAGCTGACTCTAAACTATGGTGAACCAAAAGAAACTACCTAATAAACGGACGTAATGGCTTTGATTAAGCAGCCCCATGGACCCGTAGTAAATGCGCGTAACTTGAAAAACTATTTTATGGAAACAAAACAAAGTGCAGAAAAATAGTTATACGAGGTGTCTTTCTCGTGTGTCCTAAGAAAACCTACGAATTCCTTCCTGGAGTCTTCAGTGGTAGTCCAAACCTATCGCTGTGCATAAATGCATCTAGATAACTGTGTGTCATATTTTTTAGTGACTCACTCTTTGCTCTACAGCACCCGTGAACATAAAAAAAGGATGACATATATTCTCTGAGAGATTTTCCAGAACAATATTCTGGACAGCTGCACACATCCATCAACAGCGAATGTACACCTCTGTTGAGACATCACTCCACCACATCTTCAAGCTTCCTACAAGCCTATTATCCTGACAACACCGAAGCGCTACATTCTTGTGGATTTTAAAACGTATTTCGTGCACTGTATATATATTTCCGCCTACTTACTAAGAACTCATCTGGCTGGTCAGGCAAGGTCATTACATCCGTTTATTGGGTAGTTTCGTTTTGGGTCACCATGGATCAGAGTTGCCGGACCCGATGTAAATAAACAAATTTATGTCATGCTGGTTTGGCAAAGGAATACTGGGTATGAGAAAAAATAACGCACAGTTCCCATCAAAGGAGACCTCCTTCCCCCTATTAGCAAGATTTACCAGAGCTAGGATGATTGTCTCGACGGATTTTATGTTTCAAAATTCACATAAACTCAAGGACCTCTCTTTACCACTAGTTGGATACATACTAACTTTTGAAGGTTCATTTTGGATATTGTATATGTCCTTATTTGAATAGTTGCGTTACGCAAGTTTTTAGTAACTTTTCCGTTGTTATTCAGATATTTAGTTATGTTCGTACGTACAGCATCAGTGTTCACAGAGCAAACAGTTGTTATTCAATTAAAATTTAGTTTTTGAATCGGAACTGAGATTCAACACATGTATTGCAGAACGTGTTTGATTTAAATTCCGTTTGAAAATACTCCAAGAGTAAAGAATAGATACCAATCTGATCGCTCAACAGTACAAATGAGTGCTTTTCATAATCTCCGTTGCAAGTTTCATCTTATTAAAAGTTAGTATTAGTGTAGGATTATGATAGGGCTGCAGCCACATGTGGATAAGGTTAGGGTGGAACTTGCAACGAAGATTGTAGGCAGCAGCGTGATTATCATGATCGGGTTATATTCACCGTATAGTCAATCATTCATCAAAATTATTGGACCCTATAACTGGTACTCATGCGGATTTTTTTTTTACAGTAGCCTCTCATATGGAAAACTGAGACATCTGTTTGCAGTATATTAGAGACATATACCCTTTTTGTTATAAATGCATCCACTCAACATTTTTTTACTGTGGATGTTACATTTAACTAAGAGCACATGGTTGGCTGGTTTTAGGTCATTTTACTGGGGCATCTATTCTCTAACTGTTGCCGAAAGAGATACCAGTGTATAGTGTTTCAGGCTGTAGATCTGAATCCTGTTACTCTTCTTCCCACTCCTTATCATTCTTTTGAAATTCTTATTACTCTCCGTCCTCTAACTCTGTATGCTAAATGGAGTGTGGCGACTTGATCTGCTGCACTTTTGTGTAAAGTCAGTCGGTATACGATATTTGAGCTAAGATTTCGCAAAGCCTTCTAAATGAAGCATTCTCAGATGTTTACTCTGACTACTGTTTTTTTATCGCAGCACTTCCATTTCTACTAATTTCTATCTGCTACGGGGTTGTAGGTTGTGTGGTACTGTTGACTGACTGGTTTCAACGTAGAACTTTGCACCGATGTGCACCAGTTCAACTTGCCACTCTCCTTCCATGTAGCAAGAGGAGACAGTAAAAACAGATTCAAAACAGAGATAATAATATGGAAGAACAATATAGTTTTATTGAATATTATAGGTCGCAAAGTGTGGATGCATCTGCGTTAGCCATCGAGAACGATTTTGAGCCAGCCATATCACCAATTGTCTCCAGCCTTGATTGGTTTTTACCGTCCCGAGAACCCAACCAGGAAGTCTACATCTACCTACGTGACTGGCTTAAACTAACTGTTGTGGATTTCATTGACTGATGAAGCCATGTTTTGGTTTGACCACCACTAGCTCTTTTCCAACCTGATCCTTTGTTGGCAGCTAACATTGCCCGTTGTCGAGGAAGGCGATCGTTGGCTAGGCATGCGTAACACATGTCCAAACTATCTCAATCAATGTAACTTTACAGCCTCGTCAATTGATTTCCCCTCCAACTTACCTAGCACTCACTGGGCGCCTAACCTCAATTTTCCTTAAATTATTATGTCACTTCACACGGGAGATAGAACGCAGGTACCTATGGTCAAAGACACCTACTCGGGTTTTACAGTAGTATTAACTGATGACATTTCGAGCACAAACTATTGCTCATAATCATATCAGGTCACTGACACAACTTTTTATTTCATTTATATATATGAGTGAAATTGATCAGACTTTTGAATAAAAAACTATTTAAGATAATGTACATTCAAAAATAATAATATGAGTGTTATTAATCAAATACAATAAGATGGGAAATAAGATGTTTTTATAGTCAAAATAAGTAACTGGTTAGAATGTTGTGATGTATGTGAATTGAAATAGAATTTTAAGATTATCTATTATCCTCCTCTGATTTGACTGGTAATAATATCTTCCATATCTCTGGTATTCGTATATCAGAGATGTGTGAGTGACTTGATATGATTATGAGTTGCAGTAGTTTGTGCTCGAAAAGTCATCAGTTAATATTACTGTGTAACAATGTGACTTATCAAAATAAAATCTTATCTATAATGGAGTTACACTCTACCACAGTGCCCAAGTTTTATACTTATATCAATAATAGCTAGTTGGGTTTTCCATGTCTTCCACATTCAGTGGCTACGTCTCACAGCCATAAAGGAGGACGGAGCGGATTGCTGAACAGTACACACGCCTTTTTGTCGACAAGCAGCCCGCCGAATATCATGTCCACGCCAGAGAAGGCGTAAACTGGCATATGCAAAACTAGCCTTCTGTATCCGAGCTGAGATTTCGTCAGCGATCAACCCTTTGGGCTGATGCGACTTCGCAGATATGTGAAGTAGTCAACACGCTCAGACACCACTTCACTCCCTATTTTTAAGCTAGGAATCAATGTAGTCCAGTCTTATAGCTTTATCATACATTTGGCGGGAGCCAGTCGCATGCCAAACATTCTCAGATTGCAGCTCAAGGTGTTCAGAAGACGCTGCATTATATCAGCGTTCTCACCTAGAAGGACTATATCAACTGCATATTCTAAGTCAACGAGATTATTCCCTGAAACGCTGAAGCCAGTTAGAGTTAAGTTCATTAGCACATACATCTATGATGAAACTGAATAGAAATGGGGATAGTTGGCATCCCTGACGGACACCGCTGGTTGTCACCACTTCAGATGAAAACTCGCCGTAAGCTCTCACCTGGCTGCATGAGTTTGATTAGAGTGCCTTGATCAGTGGATGATGTACTTTCACGTCATTCCCTTCACAGCCAAACATCGCCATAGTACCTCTCGGTCAACGGAATCGAATGCCACCTTTAGGTCAAGAAATATAACGATTGTATGGAAATGTGAACCACTATGTATTGCTAAGTAATTAAAGGTATTGTGCTCATATTAACCTGACTGTTCATCGCATAATACAACGAAGAACGTATTATTCCTAGGCAATTTTATTACTACTTTTTATCAGATTTATCGCAGGAAAACAGACATCTTAACATGTACGCATTTATTGTTTATTATTTACTTCAAAATATTAAGTATTCCTATGGTAAAATTTAAAACAGCACATTTAACGAACAATATTATGCTTTCAATTGGATCTCATCAGGCTTAACTCTAGTATACATAAATTTATAAATAAAAATTCCAATATAAACCAATCATGGTGGTTTGTCTATAGGATAATAAGATTGTGTATATAAATTGTGCGGTCGGTCGGTCGGTTTTCGACATAGAACTTTGCACATATGTGCGGCAGTTCAATTCGCCACACTCCATGTAGCACCAAAGCAAGAGAAGAGAGTAGAAGAAATGCATATAAGAGACAGTAAACAGAGGTGTGAGACAAAGGAGTAGTAATAACGAAGAACAAAAGTTTCATTGGAAATCATAAGTCACAAGGAGTGGATGCGTCTGCGTTAGCCATTAAGAACGATTTTGAGCCATACCACCAATTGTCTCCAGCCTTGATTGGTTTTTACCGTCCCGAGAACCCAACCAGGAAGTCTACATCTACCTACGTGACTGGCTTAAACTAACTGTTGTGGATTTCATTGACTGATGAAGCCATGTTTTGGTTTGACCACCACTAGCTCTTTTCCAACCTGATCCTTTGTTGGCAGCTAACATTGCCCGTTGTCGAGGAAGGCGATCGTTGGCTAGGCATGCGTAACACATGTCCAAACTATCTCAATCAATGTAACTTTACAGCCTCGTCAATTGATTTCCCCTCCAACTTACCTAGCACTCACTGGGCGCCTAACCTCAATTTTCCTTAAATTATTATGTCACTTCACACGGGAGATAGAACGCAGGTACCTATGGTCAAAGACACCTACTCGGGTTTTACAGTAGTATTAACTGATGACATTTCGAGCACAAACTATTGCTCATAATCATATCAGGTCACTGACACAACTTTTTATTTCATTTATATATATGAGTGAAATTGATCAGACTTTTGAATAAAAAACTATTTAAGATAATGTACATTCAAAAATAATAATATGAGTGTTATTAATCAAATACAATAAGATGGGAAATAAGATGTTTTTATAGTCAAAATAAGTAACTGGTTAGAATGTTGTGATGTATGTGAATTGAAATAGAATTTTAAGATTATCTATTATCCTCCTCTGATTTGACTGGTAATAATATCTTCCATATCTCTGGTATTCGTATATCAGAGATGTGTGAGTGACTTGATATGATTATGAGTTGCAGTAGTTTGTGCTCGAAAAGTCATCAGTTAATATTACTGTGTAACAATGTGACTTATCAAAATAAAATCTTATCTATAATGGAGTTACACTCTACCACAGTGCCCAAGTTTTATACTTATATCAATAATAGCTAGTTGGGTTTTCCATGTCTTCCACATTCAGTGGCTACGTCTCACAGCCATAAAGGAGGACGGAGCGGATTGCTGAACAGTACACACGCCTTTTTGTCGACAAGCAGCCCGCCGAATATCATGTCCACGCCAGAGAAGGCGTAAACTGGCATATGCAAAACTAGCCTTCTGTATCCGAGCTGAGATTTCGTCAGCGATCAACCCTTTGGGCTGATGCGACTTCGCAGATATGTGAAGTAGTCAACACGCTCAGACACCACTTCACTCCCTATTTTTAAGCTAGGAATCAATGTAGTCCAGTCTTATAGCTTTATCATACATTTGGCGGGAGCCAGTCGCATGCCAAACATTCTCAGATTGCAGCTCAAGGTGTTCAGAAGACGCTGCATTATATCAGCGTTCTCACCTAGAAGGACTATATCAACTGCATATTCTAAGTCAACGAGATTATTCCCTGAAACGCTGAAGCCAGTTAGAGTTAAGTTCATTAGCACATACATCTATGATGAAACTGAATAGAAATGGGGATAGTTGGCATCCCTGACGGACACCGCTGGTTGTCACCACTTCAGATGAAAACTCGCCGTAAGCTCTCACCTGGCTGCATGAGTTTGATTAGAGTGCCTTGATCAGTGGATGATGTACTTTCACGTCATTCCCTTCACAGCCAAACATCGCCATAGTACCTCTCGGTCAACGGAATCGAATGCCACCTTTAGGTCAAGAAATATAACGATTGTATGGAAATGTGAACCACTATGTATTGCTAAGTAATTAAAGGTATTGTGCTCATATTAACCTGACTGTTCATCGCATAATACAACGAAGAACGTATTATTCCTAGGCAATTTTATTACTACTTTTTATCAGATTTATCGCAGGAAAACAGACATCTTAACATGTACGCATTTATTGTTTATTATTTACTTCAAAATATTAAGTATTCCTATGGTAAAATTTAAAACAGCACATTTAACGAACAATATTATGCTTTCAATTGGATCTCATCAGGCTTAACTCTAGTATACATAAATTTATAAATAAAAATTCCAATATAAACCAATCATGGTGGTTTGTCTATAGGATAATAAGATTGTGTATATAAATTGTGCGGTCGGTCGGTCGGTTTTCGACATAGAACTTTGCACATATGTGCGGCAGTTCAATTCGCCACACTCCATGTAGCACCAAAGCAAGAGAAGAGAGTAGAAGAAATGCATATAAGAGACAGTAAACAGAGGTGTGAGACAAAGGAGTAGTAATAACGAAGAACAAAAGTTTCATTGGAAATCATAAGTCACAAGGAGTGGATGCGTCTGCGTTAGCCATTAAGAACGATTTTGAGCCATACCACCAATTGTCTCCAGCCTTGATTGGTTTTTACCGTCCCGAGAACCCAACCAGGAAGTCTACATCTACCTACGTGACTGGCTTAAACTAACTGTTGTGGATTTCATTGACTGATGAAGCCATGTTTTGGTTTGACCACCACTAGCTCTTTTCCAACCTGATCCTTTGTTGGCAGCTAACATTGCCCGTTGTCGAGGAAGGCGATCGTTGGCTAGGCATGCGTAACACATGTCCAAACTATCTCAATCAATGTAACTTTACAGCCTCGTCAATTGATTTCCCCTCCAACTTACCTAGCACTCACTGGGCGCCTAACCTCAATTTTCCTTAAATTATTATGTCACTTCACACGGGAGATAGAACGCAGGTACCTATGGTCAAAGACACCTACTCGGGTTTTACAGTAGTATTAACTGATGACATTTCGAGCACAAACTATTGCTCATAATCATATCAGGTCACTGACACAACTTTTTATTTCATTTATATATATGAGTGAAATTGATCAGACTTTTGAATAAAAAACTATTTAAGATAATGTACATTCAAAAATAATAATATGAGTGTTATTAATCAAATACAATAAGATGGGAAATAAGATGTTTTTATAGTCAAAATAAGTAACTGGTTAGAATGTTGTGATGTATGTGAATTGAAATAGAATTTTAAGATTATCTATTATCCTCCTCTGATTTGACTGGTAATAATATCTTCCATATCTCTGGTATTCGTATATCAGAGATGTGTGAGTGACTTGATATGATTATGAGTTGCAGTAGTTTGTGCTCGAAAAGTCATCAGTTAATATTACTGTGTAACAATGTGACTTATCAAAATAAAATCTTATCTATAATGGAGTTACACTCTACCACAGTGCCCAAGTTTTATACTTATATCAATAATAGCTAGTTGGGTTTTCCATGTCTTCCACATTCAGTGGCTACGTCTCACAGCCATAAAGGAGGACGGAGCGGATTGCTGAACAGTACACACGCCTTTTTGTCGACAAGCAGCCCGCCGAATATCATGTCCACGCCAGAGAAGGCGTAAACTGGCATATGCAAAACTAGCCTTCTGTATCCGAGCTGAGATTTCGTCAGCGATCAACCCTTTGGGCTGATGCGACTTCGCAGATATGTGAAGTAGTCAACACGCTCAGACACCACTTCACTCCCTATTTTTAAGCTAGGAATCAATGTAGTCCAGTCTTATAGCTTTATCATACATTTGGCGGGAGCCAGTCGCATGCCAAACATTCTCAGATTGCAGCTCAAGGTGTTCAGAAGACGCTGCATTATATCAGCGTTCTCACCTAGAAGGACTATATCAACTGCATATTCTAAGTCAACGAGATTATTCCCTGAAACGCTGAAGCCAGTTAGAGTTAAGTTCATTAGCACATACATCTATGATGAAACTGAATAGAAATGGGGATAGTTGGCATCCCTGACGGACACCGCTGGTTGTCACCACTTCAGATGAAAACTCGCCGTAAGCTCTCACCTGGCTGCATGAGTTTGATTAGAGTGCCTTGATCAGTGGATGATGTACTTTCACGTCATTCCCTTCACAGCCAAACATCGCCATAGTACCTCTCGGTCAACGGAATCGAATACCACCTTTAGGTCAAGAAATATAACGATTGTATGGAAATGTGAACCACTATGTATTGCTAAGTAATTAAAGGTATTGTGCTCATATTAACCTGACTGTTCATCGCATAATACAACGAAGAACGTATTATTCCTAGGCAATTTTATTACTACTTTTTATCAGATTTATCGCAGGAAAACAGACATCTTAACATGTACGCATTTATTGTTTATTATTTACTTCAAAATATTAAGTATTCCTATGGTAAAATTTAAAACAGCACATTTAACGAACAATATTATGCTTTCAATTGGATCTCATCAGGCTTAACTCTAGTATACATAAATTTATAAATAAAAATTCCAATATAAACCAATCATGGTGGTTTGTCTATAGGATAATAAGATTGTGTATATAAATTGTGCGGTCGGTCGGTCGGTTTTCGACATAGAACTTTGCACATATGTGCGGCAGTTCAATTCGCCACACTCCATGTAGCACCAAAGCAAGAGAAGAGAGTAGAAGAAATGCATATAAGAGACAGTAAACAGAGGTGTGAGACAAAGGAGTAGTAATAACGAAGAACAAAAGTTTCATTGGAAATCATAAGTCACAAGGAGTGGATGCGTCTGCGTTAGCCATTAAGAACGATTTTGAGCCATACCACCAATTGTCTCCAGCCTTGATTGGTTTTTACCGTCCCGAGGACCCCAACCAGGAAGTCTACACCTTCCTACGTGGCTTAGACTAACTGTTGTGGATTTCTTTGACTGGTGCCATGTTTTTGTTTCACCGCCGCTAGCTCTTTTTCAGCTTGACACTATATCAGCTAACATTGCCCATCGAGGAAGGTGATGACTAGGCATACGTAGCACATGTCCTAACCATCTCAGTCGATGTAGCTTCACAGCCTCATTTATTGATTTCCCCTCCTTACCTAGCACTTGACGCCTAACCTTAATATTGCTCACCTTATCATACCACTTCACGCGGGAGACAGAACGCAGACACCTATGATCGAAGACAGCTAATCTTTTCATGTCTTCCGCTCTCAATGGCCAGGTCTCACAGCCATAAAGGAGAACGGAGCGGATTGCTGAGCAGTAAACACGTTCAATGCACAATATAAATTGTGCAATTAGTCATAATAATAATGTTTCTATCAATAATGAGGATGAAATAGTGAGGCGATCTGTGATAACAAGAATAACGAAAAACAGCATGATTAAACAAGCAAATGTTCAGGTAGAAGTAGTAGTTGATGAAAGCTAAGAAAAACAAATGAATCATTTACGCAATGTTAGATTGTAAGGGAAGTATATAAGATACGTTTTAATGAAAATGTGGTAACATTACAGAATGTTAGGAGAAGGGTTGAAAATATAAGTAAAGGGTGGTTTAGAAGTCATCAGTTGGTTATGTCTTAATAGACAAACAAGGGAGAGATAATGGTTGTGTACGAACTTCTTTTGAATGCATAGTTTAGGTTGAATAGTTTGAATTTTTATTATTATTGATTTGTTTATATATTTTATTTTTCCTTCAGATTTATTCCAAACTATGATTAGTGCTTTTTAAAAATGGCTGCCTGCGTAGTAGTTATCTCAGATACTAATCAGCTACTCTACCTTCGAACCGCTGAATGTCCTGATCCCTTATTTTACCATTTCAAAGCACATTCAGCTTTAGATGTTATAGAGGACAAGTTATCTAAACGTACAACTAGTGGTAGTCCTGATCAACTGGAACAGTATCTTGGTCTTTTATACCCAATGGAAGATCATAGGATTTATGGTTATGTAACCAATACAAAAGTTAAGGTATAGAGATGTTTAACGCAAATATATATATTTCTGTTTGTCATGTTTTCTAATGATGAGTAACCTTCGTAAACAAGCAAGCACGCAAGCAAGCAGCTGAATTCAAGTTTTGCTGCCTTGTTTATTGTGATGTCTCTTGTATTTCTTTGCTTAAAATTTAATTCCTTCCATTTTGTCGTACATACTGGTGACAATTACTTTAATCCATGAATAATCCCCATCCAGATATTAATGAAAACAAACACGTAGTTCAGCGAAGAGTCGCTTTTCGACGGCGAATTCACTCACCTGGCTGTACAATCTCAATTATATGTATAATTTTTTTTTTCTATGTGTGTACACATTAGCTTTGCCAGACAAGAGAAAAAATTAGTTAGAATTGTTATGTACGTCATCAGAATGTTTGAAAAAAAAACAAGATGAATAATCAAATTGTAACTAGAGGGTGTGCGCGTCGGTGGCACAGCGCTTAGATCGCTCGCTGACCATGCATATGGTCCGGGGTTCGATCCTCGGCCACCGACGCACTCCTTTACCTCGCTACGCCAGAATTAAAGCTGGTAAAGAGGAAAGGTTGGGCATGAGGCTGGCCAGCAACCCCATCCTGTAAAAATAAACACTGCTACTGAAACTTCAAGCTTCTAGCTTGAAGCCCTATGTTCCACTGGGAATGTGAAGGAATAAAAAGAAAACTAGAGGGGGTGGTGAAGAATAGTAAGAGGCTAGTGGTGATGTGTTGTCAAAAAAACACATAGTTGTTAATGTTAATCAATGCATAAGAGAAGTTGAATAAGTGCACTTTGGTTACGTAATAAGATGAACAATTTCATGAATGAGTTTTGACTAGCCTTTATAGGACTATGTAAGAGTGCGATAATCGAGCACCTTTCCAATACTAACCATTCCATCTCAACAAACGCCTCCTTCAAAGTAATCTACAGGGAGATGATACTCTTTCGTCTCCTTTGCACATTACTGAAGTCTTAGCCATTCACTTGGGAAAATCACGGTTATATATAACAAAAGAAAGTCAGTCAACCACTTCTACTGTCATGGCAACAACCGTGTTGAATACTACTGGCTTGATATTTGTGTACTTGTTTTTTTCTAACTCCTTATTACACTTGTACTATTTAGAACTCCTCTTACATAATTTTAGTTCATAAAAAAATCCCTATTCGAACATTAATAGAGAGACCACCAGTAGTCCAGTGAAGAGTCTCTTTTCGGTAAATTCATTTTCGTAGCTGTACAATCGCAAATATATGTATGGGTTATTTTGTATGTATGCATACATTAAATTTGTCAAACAAAAATAGTAAGTTTTTGATGAAGTTACGTAATATATGTTGATGTAAGAGGATAGTAACAAAAGTGATGAGTTGTCACAAACGATTATTAAAGGAGAGTTACACAATAACATGAATAGTTTGATGAAAGAGTTGTGCTCAGGATGAACATGGAAACAAAATAAAGTACGCAATAGCGTAAGAGTTTTAAGGTAACACAAATAAATAAAAATTCATGGCCAAACCTCGAGAATGGCCCACTCAAATCAACTATTGATAATTTCCAATTGTATGCTAGATGTGTGGACGATATCTTTATTATCATCTGTGATGATGGTCAAGATCTTAATCAATTACTACAAGTATTCAACAACTGCCATTCAGCTACAAAGTTTACTCTTGAAATAGAAAACGGATCTAAAATTCCTTTTCTTGATGTTGAACAAGAAGAGCTGACGGAACTTTAAGAAGGTCCATCTATAGGAAACCCACTTGTAGCGACCAGCTAACAGGCTTCTACAGCTGAGTACCAATCAGTCGAAAAAGAAACCTAATTAGACCTCTCGCTACTCGCGTCCAACGCATCTGCAGCTCTGATACCCTGGAAAAAGAACTACACTTCCTGAAAGAAATCTTCATACAAAACGGATATCCACCAAGATTCATAGACAAAAACATCATCAGTGCCGAAAAAAATATTTTATATGAATCTCGACTTCAAAGGTGACCTACTCAGTGATATTCTAAAGGGGGAGAATCTCCATTTCTTTAAGAAGGACTTTCTTTGTGGCAACACTGAGAGTAGTGTTCTCCAGTCGCCCGATGATCTGTAGAAGCCCAAAGGGCAAGAATTCGCACCTGACCACTTCTATGTGTACATAACAGTTCGTTCGATGTGCACCCTGTCAAAAAGGATCAAAGAACACCATTCAGTGTGGCTGCAGAAAGGAAGTAGTGGCTGGTTAGCATTCTACTGCCGAATCACTGGCGCCAAAATTTGACTTTAGTATTGTTATATCGTCACCTGTTTGATAAATTATTGAGTCCTAATTATCAATAAGTATTCACAGTAGCCATTACTCATCCGATTATGTTGTTAATCATTCTATGTTTATGAGTTTTGCTCTTGTAAAGTATTTAATTTCAATTATTTTCTGTTTTGTTTTCTTTCTCAGTTTATTATGATCTTTGAGTCACAGAATCTGTCTCCGTCACAGTCGACTCAGTCAAGCCTACCAAGTCATCAGCATACTCATCTACGTGATGTAAATATTCGTGATATGTTTCAACGATTGCATACAGCATATATCGATTTGGTATGTTCACCATTCTATAAATCAGGTACACCGATTCAACCGGAGAAACTGCCAGCTGCACGTCGATTCGATCAACGTATCTCAACACTTTTAGCTACGCATGCTAGTTCTGGTTATTGTTCAACATTTACTAGCCTGATTGATGAAGCAAAAACACCTACTGGTGAAAGTTTAACGACGAGTATAATCTCTCCTAAAGCGTGATATGGGTTTTAATCATTATTATTATTATTATTTTTGTCACTTGACCTACTTTTGTTATCTTCTTCTAAACTAATATTGAATGTTGTAAATTTATTGACTTTTTCGTGTTATATAACGGGTTGGTGTATGTGTTTAAAAGGTGTTATTCTCATAAGCGAGAGTTGATCAGTTCGAGGGGTTTGATATCATATAAATAGGGAATTAGTATTCACGCTTCTCTCCAGGAGCTTATTCAATGATCCCGTAGGTTTCTTTTCATTCCTTTGAATGCTGAGTAGAACTCAGAGCTTCAAGTTTAGATGGGTAGTGAAGTGATATCTGAACGTGTTGACCACTTACTTCACTTATTTGGGAAGTTGCATCAGCTCCAACGTCAGTGGGTTGGGCGATGACGAAATCTCAGCACGGATACAGAGGGCTCGTTTAATGTATACCTGCCAACTTACTCCATCTCTGGTGTAGACGCGATATCCGGCGGTCGACCAAGGGACGTGTGTACTGCTCAGCAGTTCGCTTCATCCTCCTTTATGGCTGGTTGTGAGTGAGACGTGGCCATTGAAAGTGGAAGACATGAAAAACCTGGCTAGTTGTCTGCCTCTGATCATAGGTGCCTTTGTTCTATCCTCTATGTGTGCTAATTGGTATAATCACGTGAGCAATACTGAGGCTAGGCTTCGGTCGAGTGCTAGCTCTAGGTAAGGAAGGGAAATCAACCGACGAGGTTGTGTAGTGAAGTTACATGGATTGAGAGAGATGGTTAAGACGCGTGTTACGCATGCCTAGCCTAGTCATCTCCTTCCTCGACAACGAGCAATGTTAGCTGCTAACAAAGGGTTAGTTTGGAAAAGAGCTAGGAGTGGTCAAATTAAAACATGGTTTCATCAGTCAATGAAATCCACAGCAGTTAGTTTAAGCCAGCCAGCCATCCACGTCGGGAGATGTAGACTTTCTGGTTTGGGTCGTCTGGATGTTTAGAACCAATGAAGGCTAGAGACAATTGGTGATCTGGCTCGAAGTCGTTCTCGACGATGGCGCAGATGCATCCACTCTTTGTGATTTATCAAATCCAATGAGACTTTATTGTCCTTACATATTACTATTCTTTTTGCCTCATATCTCCGTTTACTATCATTGTTTTGAATCTCTTTTCACTCTCTCCTTTTGCTACATGGAGGGAGAGTGGCAACTTGAATTGGTGCAGATCTATGCAAAGTCCTACGTTGAGAGCAGTCAGTTTGAAGTTTCAGTAGCAGTGGTGCCGTGCTGTTTTTGTGGGATAGGCTTGTTAGCCTCACTTTTAGTCTACCGTCTTTTTCATGCTAACTATCGTCTAGAGTAAACTAGGAGAGGTTTTCGAATGCGTCCGTTGGCCTGGAATCGAACCCGGGCTGCTTGTATTGTTGGTGAGCATCCTACCACGGAACTATGCTTGTGGAAGGGGGGTTGAAGCCAGAGGAGACTGTCATGTAGGGGATCGTAGGGATTTTGACGTGCAGATCCTCTACTTTAGAGATTCCATAAATGGGAATTGTGCAAGAAAGTGTAAAATGCTAGACTAGTCGAATACACTTATTTTCTCTGTGAGTCGGCTAAATTGACGTCAGTGATAGTGCAATCAAATCTGCATATGCTAAACCAATGCAATAATAGTACGCGGGCTCACCTCTTGTTTTTTAATTTAATAAAAGCTAGAGCAAATAAGGATTTTTAATAGGTATACATAATGTGATAGTAATCGTTTAATATTACATGGAACACACGAGTTTTTAGTGAGCTTCTTTTGAGTCCTACTGTTGACTTATGAGTTAATTTTTGTCGAGATCACAAAACTAAAAGTTCTAACAACCAGATGTACATATTTCCAACTTCTGGGTCCCAACCAAAATAAAACATCTGGGATTTCATGGAACAGGTGTAGTTGTGTTGTTTGAGGTAGACAGTTTAATTGAGAGGCTTTCATCGTCTTCTTGGATAATATCTTTAGCACAGACCTCAATATGAAGTGAGCTTTCAGAATTCTTTATGAGTTTAGCAGTAATCTTTCCTGATGACACTGAACGTGATTGGCCGTTTCCAGAGATTTTCTCACTCTCTTATCCATTTATGTACTGACAAATATTGATTTTTTCGCTGTTATTTTGTCCCTTTTTAACTCCTTTTTATTGCTTGATAAATATATATGATCTACGTCAGTTGATCGTGAATTCGTCTTGGTATTCTGAATGCTTCCTTTATCTAAATTTTGTGCACATTCTGTTAGTCGAATTGATGTCTCTGATCGCCTTCGTGCATTGATTATGATGTATTGAATGTGACGTCGATTTGTGACAGTTGGTTTATGTTCATGGAGGAATAGACGAAATCGACACCCATTTTGACTAATATGGCGTTATTCACAGTTGATAAAATTTATCTTGCAGACAATGTTGACTTTGACTTCTGCCGTCGTTGCGTCTTTTGGTCAATATGTTATATGTGCGTCGGTGGCACAGCGGTTAGGACTCTCGTCGACCATGCATATGGTCCGGGGTTCGATCCCCTGCCGACGCACACCCAATATTTATGGTCTGCCTGCAAAATTTGGGCTACCGATATCACATACTGAAAATTCCATACCTGTATCAAAAAATACGGTGTGGAATCAAGCTGTAATCAAAAATATAAATATATATTTAAGTTGGAGTGATATTTTTATTATTATGTGGTAATTATTATTATTATCATTATTGTTCCCTTGGGTTCCGAGTGGAACATAGGGCTGGCTTCAACAACACATCTCCACTTGGTGTTCTATTTTCTGCTGTCTTAATTAGCTTGACCCACGATTGCCCATAATCTCTCATCTCCTGCTCACACGATCTCCTCCATGTCACCCTCGGACAACCCTCTCGTCGCTTCCTGGCGCGTGATGTCATTCGGCGGTCTCCTCAATGTATGCCCGGTCCACCTCCATTTTCTCCCACATATGCGTTGAACGATAGGTTCTCGGTTAGTTTGTTCCCATAGTTTCTTGTTACTTGTTCTTTCTGGCCAGTCATTTGATCTTCAATATGGAGCAGGAGAAGGGGGCATCTGTTGATAAAAGTCCGCGACCTGATGCGGTATAATAAAACAATAAAGCTGTGAATAATGCTTTGGATTTTGTTTGACTTTCCAGTTTGAAAGACATTAGTTAGCTGTATTTAGTCCGGTTATAGTGCTAAAGTTCGGATAGTAAGCTGTCAGACAACTCTTCTTTGCAGGAGTAAAAGTCAGTCCATAGTGGTGCTAACGACCCCACCTCGTAAAAAAGAAAAAAACATTTCTCCTGAAACTTTAAAGCTAAAAGCTTGAAGCCATATGTTCCACTGGGAATGCATAGGAATAAAAAAAATTTACCTCTTAAATTTTATTATACCAATTAAAATTAGTATTGAATACTCAGTAATTCAAGGTAGACTTTATTGTAAATTAACACACACACACACACACGTACAAACTGTGTAGAATCAGTGGATTCTGACACTTACTTTAACACTACCTAATAGTTAACTGCAGATATCCTGAAAGTCTAATGAAAACTCGTCGCCGATGGCCTCCACCATTTCGGGGTGTAAGGGATGACATTCGATGAAACTGGGTTGATACTAGCGCTATATCATGAATTGCCAGAGGTTGAAATTCACTGAATTCCGCTCTAGTGGCTGAATTGCCACCAAGAATCCCCCATAGTACTAGTGGACTGAGGTTTGATCTCTTGTGGGACCATGGGTGTGTACTGATAACGAATCACAAAATGGAGCAAAGCAATTGTTTTCAATGATTCGTGATTCATGAAGTAATCTACTTCGGAATTAATCCATATCCTTTGCGAAATCAATAATCTGAATCCTGAGAGAGTTTTACACTCTACGGTTACCAACTAACATTTCACTGCAAAATGTTACATTAGTGTGAGTTGAATTAGCCCAAAGGTGAAGTAATCGATGACCGAAATAACACATATCTACTAATCTGAATCGTGCTTCTTGTTAGGCATTTATATTATTATTATTATTATTATTATTATTATTATTATTATTGTATCCTTTAATTCCTACAGGAACATAGGGCTTCAGCCGTGCGTCTCCATTGCGTTCTGTTCTCTGCTAGGGTCTTCACCTGGCTCCAGGTCTGCCCACACGTTTTCATCTCCTCTTCACATGACCTCCTCCAAGTCACCTTTGGACGACCAAATCGCCACTTCCCTTTCGGGTTCCACTCGAGCAATGGCTTGTCTAGTGATGTCACTTGATGGTTTCCTAAGAGTATGGCCAATCCATCTCCATTTCTTCCTGCCTATTTGTTTCACAATCGGTTCCTGGTTGGTTTGTTCCCAAAGATCCCTGTTGTTGATCTTTCCTGGCCATCTGATCTTGAGTGCAGTGTTGAGCGAAGACAACTGTTAATGGAGGTCTGTAGTTTGTTTGAGATGGTCTTTATGACGCGCCAAGTCTCTGATCCGTATAGTAGCACTGACTTCACATTGGAGTTGAAAATTCGGATCTTATTTTTGATGCTGAGTGTTGTTGACCTCCACAAAGACTTGAGAGTAGTGAAAGCTTGTCTTGCTTTTCCGATTCTTGCTTTAATATCCTCGTCAGTCCCATCAGCCTGTAGTTGAAACGATGCTTCCAAGGTAGGTAAAGGAGGTTGTTTCTTTCAGGTTCCTCCCATTTATGCTGATTGTTGTCAGTTGTTGTTGTTGCTGTTGGTGGTGTTGCCCAGGAATTTTCATCACCTATGTTTTATCTATGTTCACCTGAAGTCCTATCTTCTCTGGATGCTTCTTCTGCCAACTTGTTGCTTTTCGCTTGCATATCTTCCAGTTTGTGGGAAATCAGACATATATCATCGGTGAAGTCCAGATCCTCCAAGTTTTTTGTGTGTCCATTTTATGCCTGTTTCCTCATTGCCCACTGTTTGTCGCATTATCCAGTCTACTGCAATCAAGAAAATCATTGGTGACAGTAGGCAGCCAGCTTGTCTTACTCCCGTGTTCACTTCGAAGGATTCCGTAAGTTTCCCATTGTGGATTACTTGACATGCAGCATTGTCGTATAGTTGTTGGATGAGATGTATTATTGTCGTTGGCACCCCG